CTTTTGAGAGAAATAATACCATTATACCCACCAGTAACTAATACTTTTCCATTTCCTAATATAGATGCTATATGATCTTGTCGTGCAGAACTCATGTTTCTTGTAGTTGTCCAACTACCTGTTGTTGGATCATATAATTCAGCACTAGTGAGAGAAGTAATATCATTATATCCACCAGTAACTAATAATTTCCCATTTCCTGATATAGATGCTGTATGAGAATATCGTGCGACATTCATGCTTCCTGTGATTATCCATCCTAAATAAAGCAGACAAATGAGAAACAAATATTATTCTTTTAAGAATTTTGAATCAGTTATATAGAGAAGTTGTGCATCTGTTGATCATAAACTAAAGGATAAGATGCATTTTGAAACTTTAAATCACGTTAAAATAAATAAGAAGGTTACAAATTTTTTATCTTTAACGAATTAATGGAAAAATTGTCTGCAAGCCGACTAATAATCATGTTTTTTTTGGCATCTGTGTTCTCAAACTCAAAACGAAAAAACAATATGTGTTTTTATAATAGATCTAAATTTCAATGGTGCTCTTGTACTAAGATTATGATATATCTTGATTGAATAATTACTTGAATATATTAGAACTCGATTTAAAAAAATTAATGAAAAAACTATTACTATCGCTCATCGATGATTCAACCTTTGAAGACTGGTGATGCATATATACATTACTCGTCTTGATATAGTTGAGATCTCTGAATGCGAAAAAATTGTCTATTGCTCTGTCTTATACTACTGTACTCTGACACTATTTATCTAAATAAAGAAAATTCAACAGATAAAGCAAAAAATTCTAGACCTAGCCGTCTAAAATATGCACTGCCTAGGCAACTAGCATATTACTGACCTGCTATTGCTGTTGTGCTTGTTGATGTTGATGATGATAACCGTGACGTCGATGATATTGATATGATTGCTGGTAATGTAGACATGAACTGATCTATATTGAAAAAATAAGATTAAAAAGAGATTGAAAGGTGAGACAAAGATTTGCATAAAACTATGCATGTTTTCTTCTACTAGCGATGTGTTTGATTATCAATACATTACGATAAATTTAGATAAGTTCGAATAGCTTACGAATCTTCTTTCTTCTACAATGTTTAGTTATAGCTATATCTGTATTACAATCGTTCAGAACAAAGCTATTATATATTTGTAGTATTTACAATAAACCTACTATATTTCATTGATATTATTGATTGATTAATAAATATCAAAGAAGAATTAAGATTGAATTGAATTAAAATCGAACTAATATTTGAATAAAATAATTGACAAGTTTGGTTTATCGAGAAATAATTTAGTGCAAATATTATTCCATTCGATTTTATCATTTCACATATACACTGATTTTGGGTTATATTCCATAATGATTTATATACGTTACCAATTATTATATTATTCTGTATTTTACCAACAAGAATACAATCACAAGGAGAAAGTAACAATATAAACAAAAATATCCAAAACATGTTTCACTGCCTTACACTTTAAAGTTTTTTCTACGATTGTTTGAATAACTTGTATTATTATTTTCTTTTTTCTTTTTTCTCAATTCTCTAGTTTAATACTTAATCGTAACAAAAAAAAATAGGTGCCGTATATTGTTGGTTAGGCATATGGCGAACAATGCGTATTCATGATTATAATATATGCAAAATGAGCAGCACAACAATAGCAAATCATACTCGGCTGACAGTGAATGAAGTATGACTTTAATTGATATAACCGTTGTCATAGAATTGAAACTAAAATTATAAAATGAAAAGAAAAAAGAAATAGTATTTTTTTTTATATATAATAGCTTCTTTTGATTGTCTCGAGTTTTCTTCAGCCATTATGGAAAATAGAACGCAAGAAAAAAAATATTTTTACGAATTAGCAAATTATTTCACTTGCATGTTCATTAAACACATTTGCATTATCTGTAGATCATTACAGAAACTGGAATACCTTTTCTACTTATATCCTGTTAAATTTTGCTCCAAGAACTCAGCACACTCTCACATTACTCAGTATATATTAAGAATCGAAAAGGATGTAAAACCATATAAATTAATTGAGACGAACTTTTCGTACTATAACGAAGATTTATTTTGATACGTTTAATAGAATAAAAGCTACAGCGTTTCTTACTTACAATGTTGCTGTTCACAATAAAAAGAAATACACATTTTTTTTCCAAATTCCTATATTATAAAATAAATATGTTTGACAATCTACATTTAAGACATCAATGAAAAAACAGTGAGTCATTAAAATTTTGTTAACTATAAACAGAACGTAATAGTTATGCCTATTATATACTATTTTATACTGCTAAAGTACTTATAATAAAAATATTAATTATAGTTTTTATCACGATTCTGTCTTTTTCGTTTTTTTTCTCTTCCAACACGTAATTACAACATCATGTGAAAGCTATGACACAAAACAAATATCTACTCATTTAATCGTAAAATAAAGAACTACGCAGCACACATTTCATCAACAGTCTGCAATATGGCAAATCAAACTGTTGTCAATATCCTTACGTTACCAGTAGAATTTGTCTATCGAATTCTGGATCTTCAATCAGATTTTACAATTATTTGCTCAATGAGAAATGTATGTCAACGGTTCAACAGAATCATAGATAGTTATCATAGATATCAGGTAAATTTTTATCTATTGACTTAAATAAAATATATGTATTATAAAAAAAGTGTTCTGATAATTAGAAAAAATAATTTCTTTTTTTTCTTTTCTTTTTAATTTCATTCAAATATTCCACGTTTCAAACTAGATATGATGTCATAAACATCAACATTTAGATAAGAACGAAAGAAAAGGAACAAAATATTAATATTTGCTTTTTACGTGTATGTGTGTGCCTTCTTACTAAACTAATTTATCTTGTTATAAATAACATCTTCGATATTTCCATGGAAGATACCTTCGACAAATATTCTTCTAAGAGCATCTGTGCCGATGGATACAATTGACGGTAGATGTGGATGGAGAGGGGATTGACTCATAATAATATCTACTTTCTCGTCGAAACACATTACTCACATTAATACTAACAAGATGGAAGATTTCATCAAAGAATACTACTTCTAAAACATTTTTTTCCGAAGTAATTGCACCAAAACAAATTTCATCCTAAACAGACTTTCTCAAAAACAAAAACTCGAGAATAATTCATCTGCTACTCATAATGAGTCTAACATTACGGAAGGAGTTCTGATGCAAAACATATATCGAGTCTTAACAATACTCATTTCACTGATTTAACCCAACTCACACGGATCGACTATACTATCTCTGTATTTGCATGATGTTTTCATCTAGACACTCACCCAACTAAATCTCGGATCTAATCTAATCGGGCATATTGGAGCACAACATTTGGCTGATGCATTACAACACAACATCGTAACTCTCATTCTCTCTCTTTATTCAAATTATGTCTTTATCTCCACTTTCTGATCTAGATCATCACCACACTAGATCTCTCGGTTAATCAAATTGGAGATGTGGGAGCACAATTTTTGAGTGATGCTTTGCAATACAATACGGTAACTCTCATTCTCTTTTTATCTAAGCCATATCTTTATTTTCACTTCTTCAACTAGACCATCATCACACTAAATCTCTCGATCAATGGAATCGGAGATGTAGGAGCACAATCTTTGGGTGATGCACTACAACATAACACTGTAACTCTCATTTCCTTTTTTATCTATACTATACCTTCACTTCCACTTCCTCATCTAGACACTCACCACACTAAATCTCCGATGGAATGAGATCGGAGATGTTGGAGCACAACATTTTGCTAATGCATTAAAATACAACACGGTAATGCTCATTCTCTTTCTATCTATATCATGTTTTTATCTTCACTTTTCATCTAGACACTCACCACACTGGATCTCTCAGGCAATCAAATCAGAGATGTTGGAGCACAATATTTGAGTGATGTATTACAATACAACACGGTAACTCTTTGTATCTATACTAAGTCTTTATCTCCACTTCTTCGTATAGACACTCAAAAAACTATACCTCTGGCGAAATGAGATCGCGAATGACGTGATGCGTGAAATCAATAGGTTACTTGGACGCAATGAAAGAGAAAGAAAATCATAAATGATAATATTTAATGTATTTGGATAGCGAACGAATCGCTACCGATGATCATATGAACATTTTTCGTATTACGCTTTGGGATAATAAAAGAGCTTTCATGGAGCTATTTTGTACCTCTGCAACACGTGCGAAACTATGTTCAGATTCTTTATGACAATACTAAAATACTATAAGTTGTCTTCAGAGACGGTGAAATATAAACATTTTTGTATAACTGTAGCAATATTGAACTATAAGAAATTCTCTTTGACGTTCTTTCAGGTAATACTCGTGAAAAGGATCCCGGTCGATAATATTGAAACAGGAAATTTTTTCTGCAATAATGCGGAGCCGTCAAATGTGTAAGATCAATTGGAGTTGAACTCAGAAAGATTTTGTATTCATTACTGTTGAATCAAATATGATTGAGTAGTACTTTTGCATTTAGTTATACTAGTTCTTTATTTAATTTAATATCATATGGCATGTGTTGAAAGTATTTTTTTGGAATTGTTAAATGGAATCATATGATGATGTTGAGGTAGCTTTGAAGCATACTAATGAAAGAAAGGTAGATACTTCGTTTGCTGTACATGGAATGATTATGTGGAGAATTGTTGAATGAAAAATGAATTGATTGCCAAGTAAGTAGGATAGGTTTTATGAAATAAATAAGTATGACGGATAGCATAACGATAAAACAATTGTATGAAAATATACTGTGATGAATGGCATATTGAATTCTAATATCATGAAAAATCGAAAAAATCAGTAGTTCAAGTTTCTAGAGTTCATATACGTATTATCTAATAAAACTAATAGAAAAACAGTGTGAATGTGATTATACAATAACATAGGGTGTGGGTGACTGAGGGATGTGGGAAGGTGTGATCAATGAGAAGAATACTCACACCCACACCTACACCCACACCCTCAAGAAAAATCTCAAAATACATGGAAACAACTCATTTCTTCCCGTATTCCAGAAAAATGCCCGATTCTTCCAACAAAATCAGTCTTTTTGTTTATTTGTATTAACTGTGACGTCTCAAAATATAATCATAAATGTTATTTTTCATATTACTCCGAAGGAATATGTTTCAGAACTTCCAAGGTAACGAATATAAAGAAAACGGCTCATTTTGTTGGAAAAATCGATCATGTTTCTAACGCATCTTCAGATTTTTCAAGTACAATGGGAGTGTGTATGTGAGCCAATACGGATAAAGAAAACATAAACACCCACACACTTACCCCCAAGGTGGGTGTGAGTGGGTGTGGATATATTCTTTATTCGAAACGACTCACGGTCTCACCAACATCGACACCCATTCTTATCCGCACCCACAATCACACTCTCACCCACCGCCAGGCGTAGATCGAGACCCGCAACCACAGCTTCACCCACCGACATCGCACTCACACCCTAAAACCGACACTCATACAACAGCTTTGACAACCAGTTGATCAACCTTTTGTTGTTACCAATGTCTACTTCCTATGTATTGTTTTGTTTTCTCTCACGAAAAAAACATTTTCACCAAATTGTTTACCAACTGTTTGAATCAAAATGTATGCCTTTTTTCTTTACATTGCAAAATACGTTGAGTTTGATTATGCAAGGCAAGAAAAAAATTCGTAAGAATAAAGAAAATAATCACTAAGGCGCACATAAATGGTTGAGTATTGAAAGTTTGAAGTGCAGTTTTAGCAAACAAAATACTTTTAAAAGAAAGAAAAAAGGAAGAAGAGTGAGAGGCACAGGTAACACACTTTCTTTTCACAAAATAGCCATCATCACAGTTACCGATTTAATACGAAAATGATTACTATGAGTCTCTTACTCTTAGTACTTGTTACTGGAGTAGAATCTATTAACTGTCCAGCTGGTCAGCAGCCGTGTGGTTCGGCTAATTGCTACGATCCAACTATACAGGCCTGTACTAATAGTAGCAGTAGTATTCAATGTATCAATTCATGTAATGGTACCTGCTATTCAAGTTCTCAATACTGTTATAACAATACACTAATTTGTAATAACGGTCAGTCGGTTTGTGACGTGCACCAGAACTCTTTATCATGGGCTACGCTTGGTCTTACGTGTTATGATCCTACTTACTATTGTATCAACAATACTCTCTGTTATTCACACTACACATGTGGAATGCAGTGCATGATTTTTAATTACGCTTGTGCCAATAACCAAACATTCTGTCCAAATTTTTACTTCTGGAATCAAAATGTAGACCTTTGTGGTGCCGAACAGCAGTGCTACGACAATACGGTAAGTATCTGCCTGAACGGAACTACGTTGTGCCCAATCGAGAAATCACAATTGTGTGAATCAAATTGCATGAATCCCAATATAGAACATTGTGTCAATGGAACAATTCAATGTATCAATTCATGTAATGGTATCTGTTATTCAAGTTCCCAATACTGTTATAACAATAGACTGATTTGTAATAACGGTCAGTCGGTTTGTGACGTGCAGCAGAACTCTCTATCATGGGCTACACTTGGTCTTACGTGTTATGATCCTGCTTTCATGACTTGTATCAACAATACTCTCTGTTATTCACGGTACACATGTGGAATACAGTGCATGATTTTTAATTACGCTTGTGCCAATAACCAGACATTTTGCCCAAATTTTCTCTATTGGAATCGAAATGTATACCTTTGTGGCGCCGAACAGCAGTGCTACGACAATACAGTGAATGTGTGCCTTGGAAGTAACGGCACATTATGTCCGATCGGAAGCCAGCTTTGTTCTGGAGTATGTTATAATCCGCAGTTACAATATTGTGTCGATGGTAACAATACTGTCTACTGCTTGGCCAACCCTTCATCAGTAAACTGTCCACTTACCTCTACAATATCTGCTGGGCTGTCATCCACAGTCACAGAAACTACACAACTGAGCTCTAATGGCACTGCTGCTAGAGTAACCAGTTCCACCATTAGAACAACTACGATGTCCACAACTAGAACAAATACGATGTCCACAACTAGAACAAATACGATGTCCACAACTAGAACAACTACAATGTCCACGACAAGAAGCACTGTCTTTAGTGGTGTAACAACATCAACAACAGCAGCTCCCAGTGGTAGCTGTTGTGCAACAGTAAACTGTACATCGAACGCTGATTGTTGCCAACGTAGTCTTGTGGAGTGCCAGTGCTTTCGTCATAGTCAAACCGATACTTATGGTTTATGTATTAATCCAAATGCCACACCAGCATGTGCTAACAACTGTCCAGTACAAGGCAGATGCAAACTGGATTCGGATTGTTGCAAATGTCAATGTGCAGCGGTAACATTCACTGATTCCAGTGGGAATAAAATTACAAGAAAGCAGTGTGTACAACGGTAAAATTTTGCCTTAATGAACAAATAAACCCTATCATTTATTTTGGAATATACTAATCGTGTGTTTTTTTTGATGATTTTTTTCCTCTTCCCACTAACCGCCTTTTGAATTTTCTAATAAATATTTATCTGCCACTATCGAAAAAGGAAAATATATAAAATCTGCTCAGTCAGTCTGAGGTTAAAACTGTTTTGCAGCCTTTCGGAGTTCAACCATTCGAGGGTCAGATTGAAAAGAAACGAAATACGAAGACAGAGCATGTTTCTAAGCAACTACCGGATGTAAATGGCTATAGAGTGTGGGTGTTATACTCAACTTATTTCGACACCCATACTCATGCCTATATCTAGGTATTCTCTTCTCTTTCGATCTTAACAATAACAACTAAAATAGTCATCTTCCAGATAATCATCGAAATTTTGAATATTTTTCATCCGATAATACTTTTTCTTTTCATTATTTTCTAAATTTACAGGAAACAGTTTTTATAATTGATTCTAGACACTAAAGTCTTCGTTTGGTTTTGACTCGTATAACGCAACTTCTCATTTTGCAGAAATGATATCGATGATCTTGATTAAAAATGAATTTATTATAGAAACAATTCGGTGTGATCTGCCAGTAAAATTGTGAAGTACTCGTTTGGGGATGTACATGATGGGTTTAACCTTCTGTATGATACTAGGCTAAATAGATTTTAAAAGGATCTTAGACTCACGAATATGGAGAAAACTTATGAAAGAAGCCTGCTGTACCTTGAGTGTGTGTGTATGAGGGTGGGTGTGGGTGTGGGTGGGTGTGAGTGTGTTATTGTTGTTTTGTTGTAAAAGTAACATCTGCGTATTAATATGAAGGGTTGAAAAAGATCAAAAATATCCATTTGATATAAACTGTTTAATATGAAACTACATAAAAATGGAAATTTTCCATTCAATAATAATTCTATTGAAGACGATCAATAAAATACAATAATGAAATAGAACGACACAATAGCAGAAGGTTGTCAAGTTCTCATGATAATCAATATAACAATGCATATTCAGTAGAAAAGAAAACAAATATATGTATATCGAATATAGTAGTGAATGGACTTTAGCCTTATAAAGTAACAAAAATATGTTCTATGAGACAGTTGCAAGTCATATTTTCTTTAGTTTTATTTTATAAAAATATCCAAAAAAATCTCATCAAGAACAGCTTCATTAAGATGACGTTTAGGTGACGATATCCTTGCGATCCTGTTTCTCTACATGTGTTCGTATGAGTTTGATGTAAAACTATTTTATTTGTAAATAATAATTATCAAATGCCGGTTTTGTGACAAACACAATTTAATTATAAAAGGAACTTCTTCTAGAATTAATATCTCGTCTATTTTCTCGACTGAAGTTAAAGGAGTAAAAAAAGAAAATGAGTTTCAAAAGTAATATTTGAAAAGAGCTAACGGGCGAGAGTGATTATTATTTTTATCGTTGTATTTTGTTTAGTCGTGCTTAAAAAAATAATTCTTTGCTTGTCAACTAAATATTTTTCTTTATTTTTACATCTCACATTAGCATACGTTAACATGGCAATTCCTATTATTCTTCGTTTTTGGCTTCTTCTAATCTTTATGATTCCATCAATTCTAAGTTCTATCTTTTGTCTTTATTATTTTCTTGTTGATCGAACACTTCGCAAAGCTCTTAATAATCATGTGATTATTTTTATTCTTTTTCTATGTCTTTTGTATAACATCACTGACATAATATGGCTCATTCATTATTTTCGTACTAGTTCATCTTTATCATCAACACGAATCTTTTGTCTCATATGGGTATATAGTGATTATGCTTCATATGTATCAATATCATGTCTTACAGCTTGGGCATCTGTTGAACGGCATATTCTTATTTTTCATCAAAATTTAACTGCAACACAAACAAAACGTTTTCTTTTCCATTACTTACCATTAATTATATTTAGTGCTTATCCGTTTATATATTATATTGTTATATTTTTTATTTTGCCATGTAAAACTGTACCTGATTACACAATGCCACGATGTGGTCTTGTTAATTGTGTATATGAAAACGCATCCATTGGACTGTGGGATGGACTAGCAAATAATATCATACCCTCATTTATTATTGTGATATTTAGTTTAGCTCTTATTGGACGTGTATGGTATAATAAATATCGAATGGGTCAACGGTTTCAATGGAGAAATTACAAAAAATTGACAGTTCAATTATTATCGATATCTGTTCTCTATTCTGCTTTTCTTTTTCCACCAATGCTGTTGTACACTGCTTACTCAGCCGGTCTATCATATGATGTAGGTGCTGAGTTCTATTCTTCTAGTTTATTTTTTAGTTACTTTGTTACACTGCTCATTCCTTGCGTATGTATTGTTTCATTACCTGAACTTCGAACAAAACTTTATAAAGTGACTCGAATGTACCGACGAGTGAATCCTATTATTAGCATGAGAATGTTACCAATTTCACGTCTAGGAGATGGTCGAACAGCTAGAGTAGCACCTGTTCTTTCATAGCTATGATTTCGTAAATCAAAATATTTGTTGTTTTGTTTATTTATCAATAAATGTAACTTAATATATATTCTGCAACCAGACATATTATCTATGGGTGTACTTGAAGAAGAGACACTCACACCCTCATTATTTTCAGTTATTACACTTGGTATCATCAAGTCGAAGAGAAAATATTTAAACATAAGATGGATTTAAGAAGTCGTATTGATTGCCGACGATAAATACTTCCAGAAAAGATATAAAGAAAAAACGAAACAAAATAATCACATTGTTGCCACATTACAAAAATTAAACGTAAACCAATTATAGTTAATGTTTGTGTAGATGGTTGAAAAGAATTTATAGTATAAGTAACACCGAATGGTAATGCAAAAATGAGATGAACACTAACTTGAAGTAGTAACATTCGAGCTAATTGCTTTTCAGTACGACGACCATGTCTAACTGTACGAGAAGGTGCTATTCGAGCTGTCTGTTGACGAATATTAGATATAGTCAAAAACCCGAATACAATCAATAATAAAGGTGATAAAATATAATATAAACTAATTTGACTAAAAAGATAAATACTAATCAATATATTAGATTTAACTACACAGATACTGTTTGTTACATCCCAATTATAAATAAATATCATTGGTAACATATATAAAGATAATAGAATGGTACTTATAATGATGATTATATTGACTTTTCGTCGAGCGGATAGAGAACGTCGTGCATAAGATTGTGAACTAGAACAATAACGATCAAATGAAGCTAAATTAAGCATAAGATTTGCTTGAAATGGAATTAGATATAGAAGATAAGTACTAATCTTACAGTTAAATACTCCATTTATCCAATTAATAGAAAAACTACGTAAGATTTGTGTTGGACATAATAAACAACTATAGATAATACTAAAAACTGCATAAGCAAGAAAATAATAAGTACATGGTGATTTACGAAGAGTATGAGAATATAATACACTAATATTAAGTATATTTGTAATAATAGCGAGGACAAAATGAATAGGTTGTATATAGATAGCTATATGAAATACTTGAGCAACAAGATTACTCATAAGTAATATATGTATGAGATAAAGTCTACAATGATAATTTATGTCTAAAATAGTTGAGACAAAAAAAAGAAAATCATTAAAAATGAATGTCTGTATGTATGACGTGACTAGAAAATCTTCACAATTAATCTGTAATAATTATTCCCATCTGCTGATTTAGTCATTCAGTAAATCACACGCTATGAATACAAAAAAATACTCGCATTTTATGAAGTATTTTTTTTTATCCTTTTCATATATGATATTGATGAAGTATTAAGGTGTTTATTCATTAACTTCTACAAGTAAAATACATTTTATTTAGAAAAAATTTCATTGTAGAAGATATTTCTCTCATAAGTTCAAATAAATACATCTTTTGCTCTAATTGCTGGCAACATACTGGTTGGAATGAGAGTAAATTGTTGTATGTCATTCCGCAGTTGACGTCGTCTAGATTTAAAACCATTTGATCTTATTAAGTTGCTAAGTTCTTGACGATAGACTCTTCCAGAGAAAACGTAAAGAAAAAAGGAAACAAAATAATCACATTGTTGCCACATTACCGATATATATCGTATGGCTAATACATTTGGTGTTCGTGTAGATGGTTTTAAGATGTTTATATAGTAGATGATACCAAATGGAAGAATAAGAATAACATGAACAATAATTTGAAATAATAACATTCGAGATAATTGTCTTTCAGTACGACGTCGTCGTATAGATACTGTTAAAAGTTTTGCACGAGCTGATTGTCTACCTATATTTGATATTGTCAAAAACCCAAATATAATCATTAATAAGGGAGCCATTAAATAATAAAGAAATACTTGACTAAATGTATAAATATTACTTATAATATTTATCTGTGGTATACATTTATGATAGATTTCAATCCAATTATAAATAGTTAACATTGGTGACATATAGATTGCAGATAATAAAGTACCTAGGACAATATATATTCTTGCTGTTCGTATTGTACCTCGTGAATGTATTCGACGTGATTTTGAACTTGAACAATAACGATCAAATGACGCTAAGATAAGCATTAAATTTGCTTGAAATGGAATTAAAAATAAAACGTAAAAATGTATTTTACAGCCAATTTTTCCATTTGCCCAATCGATGTAAAAACCACGTAAAAACTGTGTTAAACATGCTAAACAAGTATAAATAATACTTAAGATAGCATAAGCAAGAAAATAATGTGTACATGGTGATTTACGAAGATTACGAGAACATAATATACGTATATTTAAAATATTTGTAACAATAGAAAGAGACAGTTGCACAGGTTGTAAATAAATATTTGCTATGAGCACATTTTCAAGTAATTTACTCATATCTAAAATAAAAGTTTCATATAACATGTTGGAAGAAAGCGTGATTGATTAAGACAAAAAGATAATCAAGCAACGTTTTTTCTATAGAACTATTCCAAATATTTATGAATATAATAGGTTAACTAACTTATTTACTTCTGCTAAATTTAAAAAACGATATGCTGATTTCTTATTCTGTTTCGTGACATAAAAAAAATATAAAAATGAATAAGAAAACCTTTCATCAGTTTATAGACTTATTAATTGATGAGCTTAAAATAAACCTTCTTTCCATTCATAATGATCAAACGATTATATAGTATTGAAATAGAGACTTTAAAAAAGTATTCTAAAACCTTTAATCTATCTAGATGAATATATATTTAATGTGAATTATCAAAATAATTAATAACTAATTCATCGAATGTAAAAAAAAGAGAAATAGAAAGAATAATATATTTAGAAGTTGTTTTTTTTCTTATATCTGCTGGTACGTTTACTTTATAGAAATATTTTTGCATAGTAAATCTACAAGATAAAGTTTTTCTCACTCTAGTCTGTGAAGAATCAAAATTCTTGTCTATTGACATATGACGAAACAAAGAAGGCAATGTAATCAACTATATAAATTATAAAATGATTCCACTTCAATAACAATGATGAACAGAAACGTGGTAGCTATTTATAATAACTAAACTAAATCTAATAAAAATTGATAATCAAAAGAGGCGTCCAGCAAATAACCAAAACACCGGTCACATGACTTTCGAACACACTTTAATGAATATAAATGAAGGTATATTTATCAATATCCATAGAACAAAAGTATTTCTATAAAATATTGATATAGTACAATGTAAATGTCATTGTAATATGACACTAGATAACTGGAGAATGGCTCTTTGACAACCTTTTCTATTTAATCAGATCATTTCTTCTTTCTTCTTATAAGCACATGGTGTTTTTCAATAAAAATAGCATAAACAAAATTTAACTTAGCAGACGCTAATATGTATCAGCATGATACTAATGCCAAAGTATTATATAACTTAACTTTTTAAGCAATAATGCTAAGCCAACACTTATAGCAATATCTCTATTATTCTCATCTGCTAATTAAAACAATATATTACAAAATAAATTAAAAAAAGTCTTTTTATTGTATCATAAAAATTTATTTGTCCTTATATATCTTTTAGTAATCGACCAGATTTTCTTTGTTGTTCAGCAGTACTTTTTTCTGGTTCAGATAACCAAAATAAGTTGTTTTCTAATAAACCAGCTAATACAAAAGCATGACCCATCTTTGGTTTTTCTTTATCAATAACTTCTTCTAAACTATAACCTTGTCCTAAATGATCCCATCCATCAAAATCTAATAATGCCATAGGTCGTTTTTGTTTATCATTCATATCTCCACAACAATATTTTATATAAATATCATT